CAAGGCTCACTTGCAGGCAGCCTGCTCAGTGTCAGAGGCAGTGCACAGGCATGGGCGGGTGTGGAGCAGAAGTCAGCAGCCTGCTGCGGAGGCCAGGGATGGCACACGAACACATTTTTGAACAGAATTGGCCCAGGAGTGGGGAACTACAGCTCCTTCAGAGGGCCATCTGGGAGAAAACGATTCCAGCTCCCAACAAATTCTGAACTCGCTGAGATTTGGCTCAGAGCTACAGTTTTGCATCCCAGCAAAATACTGCAGATAAGAGGATCGGGTTTATATCATTAGTTAGAGTGGGAAAGATCATCTCTTACATCTCTGGAGTTTCTGCTGTCATCCTGACTCTAATTTGCAAACAAGTAATACAGAGTGCATGCTGTCCTTGAAACAGTCTAGATGGAAGATAACAGCTTCAGTCTTCTAGTTTGCATTTAATCAGGTTTCGAAGTAATGCGCCTGTGCCAAAACTAATTTGTTTAACACTAGGGATTGGTTTGGTGACCATTGTGAGGGAAAAAAACTCAGTGAGAAGAGATGAAAGTCCATCTGTTGCTTATGTTCTGTGTGGACACAGCCTTCCACACTTATAAACCCTGATTTTCCAGTAAATTTTAAGTCCCACTTCTAATATTTGCTCATGCACACGCAGTACTGAAGTAATGAAAATTAAATGTGAAGAGCAGTGTGGTTCAGCTACCATAGTAAAATACAGAAAACGAACTCTCATTCTTGCATGTATTGGATCTCTCATTTATACCAGACTTGGTGCCTTTCCACTCCTTTTGCTTTATTTTTCCAGTTTGAAGGGACAGCGTTTGCCTGTTTACCAAGTGAAGCAGCGCTCAGTGCTAAATGGCTAGCCAAGAAGAAAACACTGAGAGCTATTTCCAAGTGTCCTCTCCAAGCTTGTTGCCAAACATAGTTTTATTTTAGCTCTGTTAATAATATTGTATTATCTATACAAACCAGTTTGGGGGTGTTGATGCAGAAATCAAATTCTGCGTGTTGATCTGGGGTGAACTTAAAATGTTAGACAGAACAGAAACTGAGATGTTTCTGTTGGTGGTATACACCATGATCTTTAGGTTGTGGTTAATGTTGAGTGTATTAAATAAGGTAATGTCTGACAAAAGACTGTTAACAACCTATATAATATACTGGTGTATCTGTTACATCTGTTCTTCCTAGATTTGTAGTTACTTTTTCAGACCAGTGAGGCTTGATTTAGTAATTTAAAACTTTGTTGTATCTAGAAAAAGTAAGTTACTGACTGTGCAGAGATACAGTCGGGGAGTGGAAGGAGATAACTTAGCTGGAGGTACTTGATGAGGCTGCAGGGAAATGAGTCACACTTTGTTTTGACCATCTGTAAAATGAGCGCAGGTATTTGATTTAGGATTTTCACTGTTAAATTAAGTGCATGCAGCTTTGAACACAAATGCCTAATTTAGGAGGCAAGCTAGAGTGAGTCCAAAGAGAATTCCCGGTGGCACTGACGACTGGGTGGTCATGCTGCGTGCACTAACTGTTGTGTTCTTCAGAGCTGTTCTTCTTGTGCAGCCTTCAGGTGCCTTAGAGAACAGAATCAATAGAACCACTGAGGCTGGAGAAGACCTCTAAGGTCATCGAGCCCAACCATTAACCTAACTACCAAGTCCACATCTGGAAGCCAGTGAAGCTGACACAGATCTCTTGGGTGGAGATGAACTAGAACTTTTGAGTCAGCTTGGGATTGTTCCACAGGTTCAAGTGCTGGGTTCACTACTTGAGCAGTTGTGTTTGCCCGAGATGCTACAGTCTTATTGTAGATGTATGCCAAGAAGTTAACAGGCTTTCTTGGTTACTTTTCATTCATACATGTACAACAACTGTTAAGATTGAAGGTAGCTTTGGCAGGGGGAGTGTGGAGAGTCATGCACCTCTTGTCTGAGAGAGGTATGTCCATCACTTTGCTCTGAAACATGCCTGCCCTTAATTTCAGCAGCATGTCAGCATTTCCTGGACTCCTTAACATCATTATCCCAGTGAAATGAAAGCCATTCCAGCTACACCTACGGCTTAATGCTTTAGAGCAGTATTTCTGCCTATGAATCATGGTTGCTATAGTTTAACAGTAAGAAACAAAAAACCCTGTGAAACTTCTTATGACCTTCAAATATGAATTTCAGGGGTGTGGAAAATGCCTCTGGAATATAAAAGTACTTGAATTATCTGGTCTGATTTCCTTCCTTAAAGTTCTGTCAAACTATTCTTTGATCACAGAGAGAAATGTGGAGAAATGAAAAATAAGATGGCTTTGGTCTTCTCTGTTAAAAAAGCTCTTTATTAGGCTGTGTAGCTGTAAAGAACTTAAGAGAAAATTGATGGCATTTGCATGACACAACTTGAATCCATAATCTTAATTCAGTGATGTGAAAAGCATGTTAATGGCTGGGCTGCAGTCTTCTGCAGTACTGATGGAACCCCAAAAGCAAATAACTTGGTAGTGTTTGTTGGAAGCAATATCTGTCTTGCACCATGATTATAAGTGCTCCTAAACATATGTTCTGCCTCCATAAAACCTTGATGATTATAACCTGTCTGCTTTGGCATATCTGTACATGGTGTAGTCAGCTGCAACCTGTAGATCTGTTTGGCTGCGTTTTCCTGCATGTGGTGGCTGTTACTTTGAAGGGGATGTAGCATCAGCTTCAGGGGGAAAATATTTCAAAAGCCATTGTCTAATTACTTCCAGTAAAACTCACTTTTGCAAAACTCCTTTCAAAAAACATACGTAAGGTTTTTGTGTTGATGGACAAAACCATGTATTTTTTTTATGTTCCCAAGCATTTTTAATGGAGGTGTCAATTTGGGATTTTGCTGACTATGGTATTGAAGCCAGCCTGTGCCTTCTAATAAAATCCCATCCACTTGTAATAAACTGCTAGTTTGTGGAATTTCTGCATAAAATGTTAGCTGTTTCAAGGCATGATTGACTACACATTTCACCTTGATTAACTTGCAGGAA